AAAGTGATGCCAAAAGTCCCTTTTATTTATACATCTGTACTTCATTAATGCAAATAATGTAGGGTTATCAAATGTCTCCAAAAAAAAAAATCAGTGTGTGTAATTGACATTGTTAATCTCTAAGAGTAACTAGATAGTATTCATCTCGGAGCAGTGTGTTTTCATTTCTTTAAAAAAATAATAAGTGGTAAAAGTTTATCTTTCAGTGTGCAATAAAATAAAATTAAAAAATTAAAATTCCAAAACAGAAATAACCCAAAACACTGGTCAAACTTTAAAAAGAAAGAGGCCCAGCATCCCAGGGTTAGTCCAGGCAGCAGTACGAACCAATGCCCTGTGCTTCAGAGCCTTGCTCCACATTTCAGGCGGACTTCCAAAACAGGCTGTGCAGAGTTTGGCCAGGGCCTTTGGCTGCTGGCTCTGATGGGACAGGGCACTACTCACAACTGGCACCAACTGCACTCAGCATGCAAGGCAAGCTTTTAGCTTTGGAAGGATGTCAGGGAGAGAGAACCTGGACTGAAGTTGTACTCATCTTTCTTATCAGTATAAATTTCTTCCTTCATTGGCAGTTTTCCCTTTATGATTAGTGTGTGGGGAGGTTCAGTCCAGGCTGGCCATCAGAACCACTGATAGGAGGGCATGTGAAAGGATTTCTGAACATGGATTTGTGAATTGGATTTATCAATGATGCAGCTTTAGAAAAAGTGCAGCACAGCCAAAGTGCATTTCTCCTACCACTCAAGTGGCAGTGACTGAGGACTCCACAGACAGGAAGCAGCAAGACGAGAGAAAGAGACAGCTGCTAGGTGTCAAGCTGCCACTACACTCTGACACCCAGCAGTATCAACATTGGTAAAGCTTTTGGTTGTTAAGGCCACAATTTTCAGCTCTCATCTTTCAACCCTGTTTAGAAAGATTTCACCTTTTTAAAAGGGGCAGCTCACTAAAAAATACAGCTTAGCTTAAAAAAGAAAGAAAAGACTTGAGGGCAAGAGGTTCCTGTTACCTTTATGAAAACACTGTGCATTATAGGCCATAGCCACTTAGAGCAGCCACCACCCTAGAGTAATCCGCTCTCATCTAGCAGCTGCTCTCTACTCTCAGGCAGGAAGACTTTGTGGATTCTCTGAGGTGGAGATACTACCAGAGGGAAAATTGTCTCAAGAGTCCTTGTGTGCTGCTAGCTGATTCCTATCACATTTGCCACGCAGGCTACACCGGCCTGGTCCAACCAGTGAGACATCTAGTGCAAAAGACCACAGTCTGACACAGTCATACAGAATCATCTGAAATGGGGTCACATCATGGTCTGTAATTGTTCCAGTCTTCTGCCACAGGAAGACAACTGCCAGCTCTTGCTCTGGGTAGGAAGCAGGCTGGTGAGTAGAGCAGCTGCTGGGGAGGAGCCAGGGGATGCAGACCTGGACCCTCCTGGGGGCTCACTAAGAGACTCCACCCAGAGTCAGTACATCAAAGCAAATGTTGCAAACCCGCACAGGCTTGTTCAGGTCAAACTTTATAATTGGAATCTCCTTGGTTGAGCATTTATGGCAAAGAAGACGGCCGCAGTGACGACTGTGGAGGCAAAGAAAGAGTATGAGAAGCATTGAAGAAAAGATTATTCCCAAGCCAGTCTCTGACTGACATCTGTGGCCAACACGTAACATGTAGTTATTAACAAAATACTAATCATGGCTGAATTAAAGCAACCATGAAGATAAGTCAGCTGCCCCACCTTTCTAAGACTGCCATCTAGTCCTTAGCACCCAGGAAAGCCACAAGTCTGTGTGACAGGTACTGGTTTTCCTGTTCTCCTCCACCGTGCTGCTCGGTTCTATCTCCTCCTCATGTCTCATGATAGAAGTGATGACACACCAGCTAAAGCTCCTCCTCCCCCATAATGATGGTGGGGTCTTACCAGTGATGTTTGCGAGTTGTGACTCCAAACTTGGCAGTGCACTCATAGCAGTTGGAGCCGTCACACCATGGAGGCTCCTTGGAGAGCATATCTGTAATACACACAGAAGATTACTTGTCACACAGTGAGGTGCTGGAGAGACCAGGCTCCAGGAGGAGGAGCGGGACATTCCAACTGGTCAGGGGAAGATTCACAGGAGTCTGGAGAATCAATCAGCACTTGCCAGACATGCTGGAACAGAAGGAAACACAGCTGGAGGTGTGAATCAGCAGCATGTGTTTGGTAACACACAAGGCGGAGAGTAGAGACCACACCAAAACAAAACTGTCAGGGGCTGAAGGGTTGGAAACACAGTAGAGGGAACTACGACAAAGGAGACAAGAAGAATCTGAATTTAGGAGGCTGTCTGAACAGGGAAGTGGGATGAGTGGGCAACAAAGAGACCAAGGGATCCTCGGACTTCTGGACAGAGTGATTCATTATGGTGGGACAAACAGAGAGATGGCCTGAAGAAAAAACTAATACAAAGAAGTTGCAGCTGCACTTTGTAGGCTGGCAGTGTAGTGGGCAGGGTGCTGTTGCTCTGCACAGGTAGGGGCAGCAAATGGGTTGGTGACTTGGAGCTAGCACTTCCACAGGAACCTACTGAGGGCTGAAAAGGCTAACTTAAGTGCATAGCGTAGGGACAATTAAGATTATATACATCAACAGCACAAAGCTTTCTTTAAAAAAACAAATATAGCCAGGAGGTGGTGGCATGTACCTTTAATCTCAGCACTCAGGAGGCAAAGGCAGAAGGATCTCTGAGTTTGAGGACAGTCTACAGAGCCAGTTCCAGGGCAGTTACAGCTGTTACACAGAGAAACCCTGTCTCAAAAAAAGTAAATAAATAAATCATAAAATAAAAATATGTAAGTTTATTATTAGCTGGAGAGATAGCTCCATGGTTAAGGACTCCAATTCCAGGGGGTATGACACCCTCTGACTTCTGAATGAAAGACACACAGGTACACATACATTCACAGAAAATCCTTTAAAAATAAATTCATTTTTCTTTAAATTTTTTTTTCTCATTTTATTTTTACATGTAAGGGCATTCTGTGTGCATGTATTTTTTTTTGCCATATGCATACTTGCAGGGTTGCCGAAGGAGTGTCAGATCCCTTGGAATTGAAGTTACAAAAGGTTGTGACCTACCACGTAGATGCTTGGAATTGACCTGGATCCTCAAAGAGCAGCCAGCACTAAGACATCTCTCCAGCCCCATTAAAGGAAGGAAGGAAGGAAGGGGAAAGAGAGTCTGTAAAAACAGAACCTATGTGTGGGTGCATGTGAGCGTTTCATGAAGTGATGAGACAGTCAGAGGACGACTCAGGACTCAGGTCATCAGGCTTGTGCAGCAAGCACTTCATCTGCTGAGCCATCGTGCTGACCCTCTAGAGAATTTTATATTGACACTTGATAGGTTGTATTTCTGGGATACGGTATGAAGATCTGATGATGTACCAATATATGATCATTAAATCAAGATAATTATACTTTCCCTTTCCTTAAAGCTTTATCATTCTGGGAAGTAGAAAAAGACAAGATCTCCTGAGTAAATTGGGAGCATGGGGACCTTGGGAGAGGGTTGAAGGGGAGAGGAGGCACAGGGAGGGGAAAAGAGAAAAATGTAGAGTTCAATAAATAAAAAGTCAATTAAAAAAAAAACTGCAGACACTCAGAGGCAGCGGTGAGAATTCACAGTTTGGGGTATGAAAACCTTATCCCCCCCATTACCGCCTCTCTGTTTTTACATTTTTCAGCTGTTGCTAGCTCAGTTATTCATTAGGTTTTTTTTGTTGTTGTTTGTTTTTTTCGAGACAGGGTTTCTCTGTGGTTTTGGAGCCTGTCCTGGAACTGTCCTGCCTCTGCCTCCCTAGTGCTGGGATTAAAGGCGTGCGCCACCACCGNTGGGTTTTCAGCTCAGCTTAGTCTTACTTCTGATTCCAACTATTTAACTAACATTTACTAGTCTTCCCATTCATCTGTCTGAACTTGACAAACATCCGTTGACCTATTCCTTCATCCGGACCCGACTTTGATATTTCACTGCTACAGCGGGGCCTATATCTCTGGCTTTACTTTCTAGCCTATGACTTACAGTGGCCAGAATTTACAACTTCGGTTTCTTCTCCACAGCTCACATTAGATTGGTCATCATGTCAAGAGATACAGTTAATTCCCTATGTGATTCTCCCCTCTCTGCTCCTTTCAAGTCTAACTTGTGCTGTCCAAATAATCATGAACTCTGATCTGCATCGTTGTTTTGACATAAACTAGAATCATTAGTGGAAAATTGATATCAATTGGGAAAATTCGTTCACAACATTTGCCTATAGGCAAGTCTGTAGTTCATTTAAAAATACTGATGACTGTTATTATTGTTTTCATTTATCAATAAACATGACATAAGAAGATGTGATTGTTCATCAAGATGGTAAGGTGAAAAGGGTGGACTTGTGATGGCTAATAAAACTATTCCATCGGTTGAGAATAGCTTAAATCAACTAAAATCTAAGCAGGATTTTCATCTATTTATTTATTTATTAAAGATTTCTGTCTCTTCCCCACCGCCGCCTCCCCTTTCCCTCCCCCTCCCCCAACCAAGTCCCCCTCCCTTGTCAGCCCAAAGAGCAATCAGGGTTCTCTGCCCTGTGGGAAGTCCAAGGACCACCCACCTCCATCCAGGTCTAGTAAGGTGAGCATCCAAACTGCCTAGGCTCCCACAAAGCCAATACGTGCAGTAGGATCAAAAACCCATTGCCATTGCTCTTGAGGTCTCAGTAGTCCTCATTGTCCACTATGTCTTGAACGTTTTTTAAAATTGGCATTTATTATGTGTAGCTTGGGGGTATTACACAAGTACAGTTTGCCTGAAGAGATCAAGAGCCAACTTCACTGTTAAATGGATTCTGAGGGCTAAATTCGGGGTTTCAGACTTGTATATAAGCACCTTTACCCACACAGCCATTTTGATCACCACTGGCTTTCAACTCTTTTTTCCTTTTTTAATTGAAATTAAATTTTATCTGTATAGGTGCTGTGTATATATGAATACCACAAGTGTGCAGTGCTCCCAGAGGCCAGAAGAAGGCACTGGATTCCCATGTGGAGCAGAACCCAAGTCTCTTCATCCCCTGGCCTTCATCTCTTCATCTTCCTGCGGGGATTATACATATTTGCTACCACCACACTCAGCTTAGGACATTTTAATTCTTGCTATCATCTCAGAAGAAAGGCATAAAAACTCACAAATTAAGAACCAAGAGTTGTGGGGGGCAGGGCAGAGGGGAAGGTGGAGGAAACAGGAGGGGGGAGGGAATGGGAACTGGGAGGAAATGTAAAGTGAGAAAAAGGAAAAAAAAAACAAGAGTTGATAGCTGGAGAAATGGCTCAGTAGTTAAGAGCATTCGTTTAGTTCCCAGTACCACATCTTGGCTCACAACCATCCTAACTCCAGGTCCAGGGGACCTGGTGCCTGACCTCCACAGGCACAAGCATGCATTGGTACATGTACATATATGCAAGCAGAACACTGATACAAATAAAATATGTCTTTCAAAATTATTAAATAAATAAAACCAGCCAGGAGGCATAGTCACTATGACCAGCTGAGAGCTTGTGGGCTTCTTGAAGGTTTAGGGGAAATGGGAAAACAACAGGGGTATCAAAGCAAAGACTCAGAAAAGAGGCCCTTCCCTTTCATACACAGGGTGCCTGGAAACAGCAGGTTCAGATCTCAGAGTAAATTATGAGATTTAGACCAGGTGGTGGTAGCACACGCCTTTAATCCCAGCAATAGGGAGACAGAGGCAGGCAGATCTCTGCGAGTTTGAGGCCAGCTTAGTCTACAAAACAAGTTTGAGGACAGTCAGTCATTACACAGAGAAACCCTGTCTCAAAACACCAAACACAAAAAATGAGAGAGAGATATTTAAATATCACCAATACTTGTACACATTATAACTCTGCTTGTAGAGGAGGTACAGAAAGTATGCTGCTTACCTAATAACCTAAACAGAAGCTGCTTAGTGGCAACTTGGTAATTGAAAATGTTGACTCCTTGGTTATTATTCACCCCAAGGCGAGCCCCAGACCGAACGATGGCACGGCACAAGTTGGCATTCCCTTTCATGTAGGCTAAGAGCAGCACTGGAAAACAAAACCACAGGTCAGGCTGTTTCCCACCAGTCCCAGTGCTACTGCCAAAGCAGGACGTAGTATGCAGACATGAAGGAGTCTGAAGTGCTAGTCAGAAATTCTATGCAGAATCTGGTAGTTTTCCAAAAAAGGTTCTGCCAGAAGCCAGGTGATACTAGAGTTGAGGTCTGTACACTGTAGGGATTCAAAACAGGAAAAAAACCAGTTTTCTCAGTTGCCCTTCCCAGTCAAAAATCACTGCTTTTACCAATAAAGACAAAGCTCTTTCCAATGTAACTTAAATGTAAAGACTTGTGATTTCGGTACATACAGAGAAGTAAAGTCACTATAGACAACATGTTCCAGAATGTTCTTCTATCCAAAGGAGGCTCTCTGTGAAATGCTGGCCCAGCAGGAAGCCAACCTCTTACCTAGCTATTCTGTTTTTCTCTGCAAAGTTACAACTAGTAGCAGCTCCTTTGGCTTCCCCCTAGCAGACACCTCATTAAATTTTTAACTCAAAATGATGCAGTAACATGAGGGCTCCTAATCCCAGTATCAAATGAAGACACGGGTATAAGGAGGCTAAGAATTTGCCCAGTCACCTTACTAAAATACAACACAACGAGAAAGACACTTGAAACTAAGTCTCTGTGAATCAGAAGAACCCTGGACATGAAGTCTCTTCTTACATGCCTCTTCAACTAAAACCTGGGCAAGTAGTTTAAGTAGATGAAAGGGAGACACGGGAGAGGCCTGCTTATTATCCTTTTTAAAGAAGGCACAGAGCTAGTTCCAGGACAGGCTCCAAAGCCACAGAGAAACCCTGTCTCGAAAAACCAAAAAAAGAAAAAAAAAAAAGAAGGCACCTAGGTAGAAAGTGCTACTTCTTCAAAGCATGTCACAGGTACTGAGACATTTCCTAGAGCCCGAGTCTTGGTTAAGTCTTATCTCTGCTGAAACGGGAGCATGGAAGTGTTCTGGTTAACTGAATAAAAGGCAGAAGGGTTCTGGTTAACTGAATAAAAGGCAGACGAGGGCAATTACAACTGTAAAGGTCGGCTTGGTCACAGGTATGAGGTTCTGGAGTACCTGAAGCACTTCAGATGTCAGACACCAGATTCCATACTAGAGACCTTCAACAGCTGCTGAGTCAGATAGCTTATTTACACACCTGTGTTGCCTTCTGCATCTGGTTTGTCCAGAGGATACTCAGGCATGCACTCTAAGAAGAGATCGAAGATGGCTGCTGCATTCTCTTTGCCATATTGTCCCAGAATGTGTAGTGGTGATTGGCCTCTGATAAAACGAGTTGCAAAGGTTAGACATTTATCTGTCACAACTGTCACACCAAAGAAGGAATTTTCTGAACTCTATGATCTTAAATCTAAAGAATATATAACAGACAAAAGTATAACTAACAAAATCAAAATTACACAGAACCAAAAGCTACTCAGGTGCACCAGGGGCTTGGGGAGGCAATGGGCTAGATCACAGGGTACCTGGTCTATGCCTGGGACCAGTCATACTCACCTCAGATTAAAGGCTTCTGCATCCACTGTGCACTCTGTCAGAAGAGCTCGGATGTTGTTGAGCCGACCATGCATGACCGCAAGATGAAGAGCTGGGGAGAAAATCCTCTTACTTTGCAAGTCCAGAAGCAAACAGAGAAAGCTCTGTCTCCTCCCAACCCTATCTAAATGCACTCAGTGACCCGCCAAGTACAGAGCCATCCTTTCATATCCTCTCCCTTCCCCACCATGAGTCATTAGTGCAATCTTGTAAGCCATGCCTTCTGTGCTGGTGGTAGTTTCAAAGATGAAATTTAATGGCTTCACAGAAAGCTACTTCTGTCTGTGTTTCCTTCCTGTCTCTTACTGTCTGAATGAGAATGGCCCCCATAGGATCATATATTGGATGATTCTATATTTGGTACATTTAGTACAGCTGTTTGGGAACAATTAGGAGGTATGGCCTTGTTGGAGGAGGTGTGTCACTGAAAAAAGCCCATGCCATTCCCAGTTAAGCTCTCTTTCTTTTTACCTCATGATTGTAGCTTAGATATATAAGCTCTCAGCTACTGCATGCTTGCCTATGCTCCCGGCCATAACAGTCATGGTGCATTGTCAGAGCAGCAAAAAATACAGAAAGACAGACAGACACACACACACACACACACACACACAGAAAGTAAAGCAAAAGGGCCTCATAGACCACGGGGTAAAGGTACTTTCCACCAAGTCTGAAGACCTAAATATAATCCCCAGGACTCACATGTATGAAAGAACTGACTCCTGTAAATTGTCCTCTAGAAATGTACATAAAGAAAAAAAAAAAAACTAAAAGAAGTCATTGGGCTCTAGAGATGGTTCAGGATTAAGAGCATACAGTGCTCCTGCAGAGGACCTTAGTGGGCTCTAGAGATGGTTCAGGATTAAGAGCATACAGGGCTCCTGCAGAGGACCTTAGTGGCCTGAATGAAATGCAGGCCCAAGCAGTGGGAAGCTGCTTAGTGGCAGGACCTGTCCAGAGCTCTGTTCCTATACAAGCCAACCTTCCTGAGGGGGAGCAGCTCAAGGGTGCATTGTAATTCCACTAGACCAGGACTGCCCAAGCACACACACTGTACATAATGCGATGCCTAGGAATTACCATTATTTCCATTCTCATCCACAGCAGCAAAGTCCACTCCATTCTCTAGGAGGACTGAGCAGATGGTGGGCAGGTCCTGCTGGGCAGCAAGATGGAGGGCGGTCTGGCGATGATTGGTTAATTCATTCACCTTGGCTCCTGCAAGAAGCTGTTAAAGTTGATTACTCAATTGGCCTCTCCTATAGTTCAGGGTACCATTAGTAGGTCCAAGTCTACAGGTATTCTCTTAATCTACCCTCCTGAATGCATGAGGATCTTGCAGAAATTTCTACTGAGGCAAACACAGGAAAACCTGTGCCAAGGGCAAATTATCTACCGGTATGTTCAATGATTATTCACTAGGACACAGTAAGAATGTCCATACTGCTTGTAATTCTCAAGTTTCAAAATTCCCCTATATAATGAAATACCCACAGACATTCTATCTAACCACCACACCCTTTCTTTCTCAGGCTTGTTCCCTATCTGACACGTGGTGCTAGAAAATCAGGCTTTGAGTTAAGCTCAAATCTAGTTATATGAATCACTATATAAGATTCCTAGGGGGATTCTTTTTAACCTCTCTTTATTATAAATGTATAAAATTTTCCTTCTGGAGTTTTGAGAATTAAGAGACAGTTCATTTAAAAGTCTTAGCTAATCTGGAAATTGTGGAATTTGGGAGGCTGAGGCAGGTGGATCTCTGTTAGTATGAGACCAGATTGACCTGCATAGAGAGAGCGTTCTAGGTCATCCACGTTAGCAGGATGGGAAAAAAAGAACACAGAAAAGGATGGATGGAGGAAGGGAAGGAGGAAGGGTAAAAGTCTCAGCTGAGAGCCTGATGGTAGGCAGACAACATAGCTGACCTCTGGTCCCTTTCTGTTGTCTGTCAAATCCTCCTTGGCCCTCAAGGCCTGATTCCAGCATCTCTAGGTCTATGGCCAGCATGTGCACTAGGGCACTTGAGACCTACAATCTCTTCACACATCTGTCTTCCTGGTTTGGCTCCCCAGATTCATGCTTTTCATTCACAACTTCTGCACATAACCTGAAGCATGCTTGGCTTCATGTTTCCCTGTGGCTTACCAGATTTCGGACAATGATCTCTGAGCCTGCTTGAACAGCAAGGTGCAGAGGGGTCAACTTGGAAGCATCCTGGACTCTGGAATTCACATTGGCCTGGACACTGATCAGGAACAAGACACTTTCAATATCAGAGTTCTGAACCGCCACATGAAGAAAATTTCGACCTTTATTATCTACCTACAACAACAAACAAGTAAGAACCACACTTAATAGTTCCCTTAAAAAATGGAATCCTCCTGATGTCCACAAGCTGAGCAGGTCACTGGAAAAGTCATGAACCACCCTTCCTCAGTTCCAGAACTCCAACAGTAAATGACACCCCACCCCTAGAACAAGCATGTATACACATGCACGTGATCAGAAGGGACCTGCTATCCTGGCACCTTCCTACAGTAGGAACTGCCATGGAAAGCCAAGAAGGGCCTAACTGAAAGAAGGAAGGCACTTGAGTGGCTGGGCTGTTCAGGAAGAAGCACATGTGATGATTAGCTACAACGCCTCTGCCTTGACCAAACCAGATAACCATCTTGGATCCCTGAGCAGCCAAACAGGCTTCAGAAATTTTCTTAAGCTTTAGAGTAATACATAATGGGAGGCAGATGCCAGACAAGCTGATAAGAAGTAGCCAAAAGCTTCCTCAAGTCAAACTCCACCACGTGCTATAGTTAGAGGACATCATCAGTACATCGTTAGAACCACTGCTCAAGGGAGGACATACTCCAAATTCCGCGT